CGCAGTAACGCCGGACAACCTTGCGCTGGGTGCGCGAGGCGGGCGGCCACGCGCTGGTGGTGGGAAGTCCCTAGGGCGCGCAAATCCTGCTACTCGGACGACGCAGGCCGCCGCGCGCTCGCGCTCGCCTTCAACGCCCGTCGCCGACGAACGCTCAAGGTCAGAGCGCCTCCCCCCCCACCCCCAAATAATGCAACTTCGAGGTTTCAAATGAACCCCGGGAATTTAATACCTATATTTCGGGAATTCTTCTCTTTTTCCTCTGTCCTCTCGAACATACAATTTACACACACATAGTTTCTGGTGGTATATCCTGCATATGTGCATATCTGTGCATTTTATTGCATATCTGTGCTGTGTGTTTGGGTGGGTGGCATGTAAGGGAAATCCGCTATGTCTGTCATTCATTAGAAGCATTAAATTACTAGATAGATTTTACTGAAAATTTCATACTTTGTTTTAGATAGTATCGGAAGTACTTAAAGCAGAGCTGGAATTAAAATTTACATGTAGGGCGTTCTGATGATGATTTAAGTGTACATTATGACTCAGCGCTCCGGAACAAAAACTCTAGACAACCCCTCCGCCATGGTTCAAGTTTTATTAAAGCGTTCTGGTGTCTGCATATTCTGCTTTCTTGCGATTGTGAAATATTGTCGGATTATTCGGAAAGTAAATTACAAATTTAGGAAAGGACAGTGTCATGGAAACGCTCGCCAAAACTTGAGGGGAGACGATTAACAATAAGATATTATACAACCATGTCCAAGAGCAAGTGCACAGGAAAATAACTCATATTCGATGAGAAAGTCGCATGATTAACAATCACAGTCAGCATCTCAAGTATAATACACTGCAATAACGAACGAGCAGAAATAATTTAAAAAAATAATGAAAACTCAGGGCATAAAATATTCATACTGCGTAATTCGAATGTTACATCCAAGAAGAGAAATATATGTACTATGACTACTGTTTTTACCTAAAATATAGGAATTTAAGAAACTTAATAAAAAACATAGCTAAAATGTAATATAATTTGGGCCTACTATTTTAAGCATTATGACTGTAATCGGTTGTTAAGAATATGGGTTTCAGAAATAAAAAAAAATCCCATGTCAATATATTGAAAGAAATAAATACGCAAAAAAGATCTTGAAGATTATTTATAAAGAAAAAAAATAAAACAGGAGAATTTAGGATTTACTCCGTATAAAGCACAGGTTAAAAGCCACTTTGAAACATCATCACATGAAAATGTCGTAATCAATACAGAAGCTGTATAAGACGTGCATTTTGAAATTTTGACATTATTGAACGATTCATGACTCTCCAACTCGTTCACCAAGGCTTTAAACAATTATCCGCAAACATCCTCAAATTCAGCCCGTTAAATACGACGGCTCGTTTGTGGCAGCGTGATAATCTAAGCGGATGTACTGCATAAAATCACAATAATGCCTGAGTTGAATATTACACGAGAGCGATTTTTGTGCCATTTGCGTCGCTTCCGACGGTCCAACTGTGACAGGCTCACCTTTCCCTTTCCACTCGCTAGCCCACTGGCTCATCGACGTGAACAGTTGGAACCAAACTGCAGCAGACTCATCTTGAGTCATCTGGCGCAAGCATTGTATTACGCCTCTATATTGTTTCATGATTATTTTGTCCGGTGCATCACGGTAGCTGGGTGTAACCTTGAGTAGAACCTTTGATATCACGGGAGGAGGTGGCTCAACTTTGATGTCACTACCAGTAGGCCCTAACTGCATCAGGTAGGGATTTCCTAACACAGCGGTGGACAGTTCCCGACAAGAGAGAAGGGTGAGCACGGAGGGATACTGGCACATAAGCTGAGGGTATCTCCCAAAACGCAAAGCGGGAAGCAACACCCCCCAGCCGGGGACACCAGCACTAATCTCTCACCGGTCAAGGTATAATGTAGGGTGAGTGTAGAATAGCAATGTAAAGTGAAGATAAAGCCAGACGAAGGGGCCAGAATTGCAGAGCAAGGAAATGCAAAGAACAGCCAAATATTCGCGGCGATTCATCGAGTTGATAAACTAAGATTTATGCATAACATCTATAACAAATGTATTATATCTAACTTGGATGTAAAACATATGGTGTAGATAAACAGTCTAAATGTGTCCCGCAGCCCTAAGAGAGGAAACAAAGAAAATTCCGAAATGATTGGCCAAACTATAGTTTTTAGATGAAATTAGAAACAATCGCATTAGCCATTCCTAGAATTAATAATGTGGTTCGTGAATTCCAATAGAGGTGTATCATCTATTTCCAACAATCCCCAAGAAAGAGCGAACCCTCGCCGGTACGCTGGTGAAGAAAAGCGGGATCCAGTAAAAGCAAAGAGTACGACTCACGCAGGTCGGACGACGAGCCTCGGACCGTGCGTCGCCTGTTCCGGCCTCTCCGAGCGGGAAGGGCGATGTCTCGATCTGGCGCCCCTCCAAGCCCAAGTCGGTTCGAAGTTATGGCCCCGGCGCCAGACCCTCTCGTGGCGAAACAAGAAGGATCGCAACCGAATGGCAACTCTTCATAAGAGTATAATCAAACATTAAGAGTGACAAAGGCCTTAATGAGAAACAGGTCTCTCCACCGACGACACCCGAGAGACAGAGGCGCTCTTGGTTTGTTTGGGTGGTCTATTTTGAGTCAAGTTACGACCAGCCCCCTTACCATGTTAATCGGGGTATAAAAGAACGGTCGTGAAGAGAAGTCGGCTAGATGGCACATGTAAAACACCAGAAAGGCCTGCCAAATGCGGCGTCGAAGAGGAAAGGTAAATCGTAACAATAGAGTATTCCATCCTGAATACAGATTTTTTCCCTGCAGGGACCTGTAGGTAATCAGCAGAGATCATCATTGACGTAAGTGGAACATGACTCAACCCGCTTCGTGAGACGGCCGACATAAAAGACGGCTCCAAGTTCACAGCGAGAAGGAGTACATTTGCCTTTCAGATTGTGCAAAGAGATCAAAAATTGGATGCGCTGGTGAAAATTAGTAGTCAAGTCTAGAATATATATCTTTCACAATAATATACGGTTAAATAAAAAATGAGATGAGATGGAGAAGAACATGGCCACCCGGTTTTCGTGGTGCGATCCCGGGTTTGCACTCCCAGTCGGCTGAAGCGAAAAAAAACATAAATATCTTATCGGCTTCCGTACAATCGTTTTCAGTTACTAGAGATGATGTGTGAGCAAAAGAAAATCAGAGGCAGGCCAAGTAGGCTACGTACGGGTGAAAAGAGGGAATTAAAAGAACATTTTCCACAAATCTCCCTGTTGCCGCAGAAACTTGGAAACAAATAAATTCATTCTGCCCAGGACAATGTGGAGTGCGTCTAGAAGTCGATTAAGGCTGATCCTAGAGATGGTCAAATAGAATACATATTATCAGACAAAAAATAATGTAGGTTCCAGATAACCTTATTGACCTTCGTCAGTAAGTTTCTTAATTTAGTAATCACTAGTGAATTTTTGGAAAATATTCACTCACGAAACTGAGCCGGGACATTCAATTAGAATTTTGATACTATTTTCTAAAATGATTGAATTGATTACATTGTGACCTTTTGTGTTGTTTAAAACATCGCTGCATCTTTTACTAGAATGTAAATCATATTTATCTTTTTTCAAAATGATTTATGTTATATATGACTATGTTTTAATTCAGTAAGTAGACCATGTTTGAGAGTATTTTCCTAACACAGGGCAAGCCACCCTTTAGATTTTTTCTTCAGTGACGTTATTCGACTCGGCAATTTCCAGTCTGTAAAAAATTCAACTATCGGACATGTACTCGTATGTAGAACCTCCACGTTCTACGAAATAACGCGAAATATACTGTGGAAATTTGTAGTTATTTTTTGTCCCCTGTTGCAGATATCGCAGTGCAAAATGCTCTAGGTTGGCTGCACGTGATCACTTGGTTGGCACTTCACAACGGCGGCCGGAGTGGCTGGGGAAAGGCAACTTTCTCTTGTATCTCGGGGAGGCAACGTTACAAACACAGCAAAAGTTCTGACTGTATTTTGCCAGCGCCTCGGTTGGCAGACTTTTACAGAGGACCTTCAAGTGAACTTGAGAGCGGGACGAGCGGGACTTTAAGAGACGTATATCTCTCTCTCTATGACTCTTTCATCAGCGGAAAAAGTTTTCAGGCCACCAACAAGCGAAGCTTCAGTTCTTAGAAGTAGTTGGACAAACTCAATTCACATTCAGTTCTCAAAATTGAAATTTTTTCATCTCTTCAGCAATATTAATGCATTCAGCAGAAATTAGATAATATGGCTTAAAAAAATTGAATCACATTAAATATTAGGTAAAAAGACTGCGGTATCGCGGACATTCTTTAAAGAAATGCAACCAACACTACACAAACTAAGGCGGTTACATATTTTTAGTAAGACCCACAGCTACCTTGGCACATGTTGGGGCACAATAGAGACACGAGTAATAAAGATTGAACTGTTCCAGGACATTATAACGAGGACCAAATCCACCTATCTCTCTAAGTTGTTGTGGGTTATCTCCCTCCATCCCGTCCCGGCAGGCCCCATTTCGGACAAGCCAATAAGCTCTCGGCTGGACCTCCCCGGGCATGTGTGTCAGTGTAGTGATGATACAGGAAGTTGTCGTAAGTGAGGCTAAGGAGGTAGACAAAGGGAAACAGCAGGAAACATTCGCGACTGTCTGTGGCCTATTTGTTAGGGTACTGCTCCGGAATGCGCATGGTGTTGATTGGTGAAACCACGGTTAAAAGAAACAAAACATCAGATAGAAAGGGAGCCAGACGGGAAATAGAATTCTCCTCCGGGACAGCGGCTGATCTCGAACCTAGCTGACAAGCTGTGCACTTCAAAGATATCAACTGATTACCGTTGAGCTTAGCCATATACCAGTTCAAAGCTTCACAAAGTGTCAAAGATTAGAGGCTTCTCATAGAATTTTAAAGAGTTGACCCGCTTCCAAAAATTCAAGATATTACGCTATCGAACTAGGTCCGTTCCGGGGAAATCAAATCCCACAATTAGGGAGACCCCCACTGCCCTGCCAGCGTGTAAGATAGATAGTTGTGTGGTTCCACATTAAAGATTGAATCTGCTCCCCAAACATCCAAATGAGTTCCTCC